AAAAAAAAAAAAAAAAAAAAAACTTTCACATTTAAAATAGTGACAACATTTCAATATATTTTAATTTCCCAGCCTCATGCACAATGAAGCAAAATCCACCCCTCAATTGTAAAAACCTTGCCTAACATGAGAATGACAGGTCATATTTAATCTGCTCAATACCGACAGATTTTAAAATCATTGTTTTTAATGGCCATAACTTTACTTGGAGGAGGAGGAGTGTGGAAAAAAAATATATATTTTTTTAACCTCTGCTGAATCCATGTGAGTCGACACAATCTAGGAAAAACGTGCTCAACGCTCATTGTGTCACTTTTACGAGCACAGAATAAAAAGCAACACAAGTATGGGTGGCTTAGAAAACTGGGGCTAGCCTTAATTATAAGAGAATTCTGCGGAAGTGAAAAATGCCTGCATAGGCAGACATCCGCGGGCTGTCTGGAAAGTACCCAGCCTCTGCTAATCTAACGAGAGCGGGCCCACGGCTGGCTACTTTCAGGACTGCCCGCCTGTGCCCGCAGGCGTCTACGCAGAAGCTGCGTCTTAGCTTGCCCCTTTGCTGGGTGAAAAAGAAAAAGTCTAGTCAGAGTCAGCCGAGAGAGCCAGGGCACCTGAGGGAGAAGCCCTCACCTGGCCTGACACCCACCTGGTTGTCCGAGGTGCTGTTCTCGTTGCCCATGGCGGCTCAGTGCCCAGCGTCCCTCAGAGTGGCACCAGGGGTGACTGGAAGGAACGAAAGGATACAGACATCTGTAAAATGGAAGGGCCGAGGCTCTCTGTCTGTCTGCTCATCTCCCCGCACTCAAAAGCCAGATGATGTGGGAAATGTTTATCTCTGCAGTCGCATCATGGAAAATTACTTTCGAAGGGTTTTCTTTTGCGCTATGCCACCCAGACTTCTTTCTCAATGTGGGCTGGTGTTTGCATTCCCCACCCCAGGGCTGGCAGACATTCCTGACAAAACGGGTTTGTTGCGGAGCCTCGGAGCGCGTGCCAGCACACACAGAGACGTGGGGACGCGCGCAGGGAGCCGCAAAAGGGGCCCCTCTGCCAAGGAGCCTGGGGAACGCCGCTTGTTGGAGCGTTTTCTGTTTCTAATTGCGTTCAGTTTGGAAATGCAAGAGTGTGGTTGGTTTCCCGCTGTTGGTGACAGCGGAGCTCGGTGTCACACATGGGGAGGCGTGAAATCCACCGCTCTTCAACAACATATGGTTTTCATATTTTTTACTCTACACACTTGTTCCATCAAATCAGTTTCACTTCTGCACATACTTCCATGAAGGCAGAATGGTCTCCTTACCGAGGAAAATGGGTGGCTGGGCCCAGGGGAGGCATAAACCCTGTACGGCAGCATGTGGCTGAGTCGACTGGAATCACTTCCTGGGGCTGCTGACTTAGTGACATCGTTTATTAGTGATCACCTTAATTAGGGTGCTTCCCACACAGTTCGTGGAGAAGCCCGGCACAGATCCTACTGAGCTCCGTGAGGTCCTATGGCACATGCGGGGCTAGAGGGATTACCTTCACTTTTTCTGTATGGAGAAACTAAGGTACAGAAAACTTTTAAAATCATAGACTTTCAGAGCTGGAACCGTAGAGATTATCGGTCTAATCCAGGGGGTAAACTGAGGCTGGAGAAGGAAAGGAGCTTGCCAAAGACCCAGTCTGGGGAGGTCGAAAGTTGGAAATATACCTCAGCCTCCTGCCTTCTAATTCAAGATTTCTTCTATGGAAATATACAGTTTTCATTATTTTATTTTCTCAGAAAACCTAAAATTCACCCATTGATTTGCTTACTCATTCAACCAGCATTGACTGAGTAGCCACCATGTGCTATGTGCACTGAACAATCACTGGAAATAAAATGTAAGTATTTTGAACAGGCCCAATTAAAATGTCTCCAAACTGAGAAAATTGGGAGTGACGTCCCACCAGCACTCAATTCTTTCACTATTAACTCTTTTTTTATTTTATTTTATTTTTTTGAGACAGAGTCACTTTTGTTGCCCAGGCTAGAGTGAGTGCCGTGGCGTCAGCCTAGCTCACAGCAACCTCAAACTCCTGGGCTCAAGCAATCCTCCTGCCTCAGCCTCCCGAGTAGCTGGGACTACAGGCATGCACCAACATGCCCGGCTAATTTTTTGTATATATACTTTTAGTTGGTCAATTAATTTCTTTCTATTTTTAGTAGAGACGGGGTCTCGCTCAGGCTGGTTTCGAACTCCCGACCTCGAGCAATCCGCCCGCCTCGGCCTCCCAGAGTGCTAGGATTACAGGCGTGAGCCACCGCGCCCGGCCCACTATTAACTCTTTAATCAAAAGGATACGTATGATTCCTTAATCCTTTTGTGCCTTTCGCTGTGGATACACACACACACACACACACAAGCACATGCTCACTCACAGAATATAAACATCTTCATGCATTTAAAATTGATCACTTCAGTTTATTTTTATGTTCCTTTGGAAGACGATTCCTCATTAGAAAATAATGTTGAAAGTTAGAATCATTATGCCCTTATGAATTATTAAATTCCTTGTATCTTCCAGATGGAACCATATGACATTGGAATTTCGTATGGTTTAATCATGTAATATTAATTTGTGACACTCATTCACCATATTAAATTCAATAATTGTATTAAAAACCAGGGCATCTGAATTAGCTTTTTAAACAGACAAATAGGCTGGAGAGAATGGCAAAACTCCTGGAGAAGTGTAAATTTTAAATCCCCCAAGGGAAGGCCTGGCTGCGTCTGGAATCTTCTCCTGAGGAACTCTGTCCCTACCACCCTCTCGCGTGCGTCCCCAAGGCCAGAAGGCACAACTGTGCCTTCCACTTACGTGCAGAGATGCCTGGACTCGGAGGCCGCGGCCCACGGAAAGTCTGCTTTTCAGCGATTGGACTTTCTCCTCCATTCAGAATTGGGTAAGGTCTAAGCAGACGCCCTGAGCCACCTCAGCCAGTAGGGCAAACAGCTGTCTCCACCCTCCCGCCCTGCAAACCGGCTGCGCTGCATACCTGGGGAGTGGCCGTGCAGGGACATGCAGGGCCACGGCGATTAGACAAGCGTCCCTGCCCACGGGGAATCAGCAGTTCCCAGCCCATCACTTCCAGGGCCTTTCACACAGGGATTTTCCCTGCCAGTTCATCGGCAGGGCTCCTTTCAGAAGAGGCTTAACCCAACTAAAACGGGCCCTGCGATGGGACCGGCCGGGCGTAACAGCGCAGGCCTGTCCTGCACAAGGAGCCCTTGCCAGGAACCGCCGGCACCCTTTACGCATTAGGGCCGGGGACAAACCTTTCTTTCTAGGAAGGAGCCAGACGCTCACAGGGCTTCCTGTTAGCACCTGGGGAAATTCCGCCGTAAATAACATGGAAAGTCAAAAACTTGTGGAAATACGATGACATGGCAATCTGGCACCTGTTTACGGAGTGTACAGAGTGTACTTAGCCAGGCGTGGCTTGAGTTTCGACAAGTGAAGTCATAAAAAGCAGCAGGGCCTGCCCAGATCTCGGACAGGCAGGGAGGAGGAGGCCTTGGGGACCTGGGTGAGACCAAGAGCTCCCACCCATAGATCCTCCTGCCCAGTGCGCCTCCCAGCCCCACCCCCCAGAATTCCTCCCATTATTAATATTACCAGTCAGCTATCCTTTGCACAAATGCAGCCAGTTCCTTTTTCTGGTGGTGCAGAGCCTGCCATTCACATGAAAGCCTCCACAGACTCCCCTTACCCCTGCCACGAGGTACCACCACCCAGGGCACCCAACTAGCATTGATTCCATCGAAGGCTTCCTTGTGGCAAGGTGTCTTGCCCAGCTCAGAGAAACATTAGGAGCTCCTCGGAGGTGTTTAAGAAGGCCAGGTGAGGAGAGGGAGCCCGGTGCCCTACCTACCTCTGTTTCAAACAGAGCAGAAGTGTGTATGTTTCAACAGATGAACAGATAAACACAATGCACCCTCTCCATACAATGGAATACTATTCAGACATAAAAAGGAAACCGGGCCCGGTGGCATGTAGCTGTAATCCCAGCTACTCAGGAGGCTGAGGTGGGATGATTGCTTAAGGCTAGGAGTTCAAGACCAGCCTGGGCAACACAGCAAGATCCCATCTTTAAACAATTTTTAAAAATTAGCTGGGGGTGCTGACAAGCCCCTGTAGTCCCAGCTACCCAGGAAGCTGAGGCAGAAGGATAACTTGCCCAGGAATCTAAGGCTGCGATGGGCTACGATTATGCCACTGCACTCTCCAGCCTGGACAACACAGCAAGACTACATCTCTCTAAAAAAAAAAAAAGAAAAAAAGGGAATGGAGTACTGATACATGCTACAACTCAGAGGAATCCCAAAAGCCTTATGCTCAGTGAAGGAAGCCAGATTTAAAAGGCGTGATTCTGTTCCCATTCCTATGAAGTATGCAGAAGTAGGCAAGTCCATAGAGACAGAAAGCAGATTGGTGGTTGTCGGGGGCTGGGAGAAGGGAAGGCAACTGCTTCATGGGTACTGGGTTTTATTTTAGGGTGATGAGAATATCTGGAAACTAGACAGAGATGGTGGTTTCAGAGCATTGCACTATATAATGCCAATGAATTGCTCACTTTAAAATGGTTAATTTTATGTTATGTAAATTTCACCTTGATTTTTCAAGGTGTGTTTGTTTCATTCACTTCTTGGTGTTCCGCATAAGACATAATTTGAAAAAAGAATTCCACTACTAGGGGAAAAAGAAGCTTGAAAACCATTTCTTTTGCATTTATTGACACTGGGTTTCGGTACAGATTGGAGGGATGAGAAACAAGAATGTTTGCCTTCCCCCAACCCCCTAAAATCACAGGGGAACTCTTGCAGGGAAGGTAATCTTATTAAGCAAAATATCTTCCATGGGCCAGTTTGGAAGGGGGGCAAGTCTCCAACAGGCGGGCAGAGCACGGAAAAGCCTGGCGAAGGTAAGAGGAAGAACTGGGGGCTCACTCTTGAGCATGGGGGGAGGAGGGAGAGAGGAGGACCCAGCAAAACGGCAGCGGCACAGAGGACTGGGGGGGGGGAGCGGGCGCTATTCCGTTTTCAGCTGCGTGCGTTTCTGTGATGTGTGTTCCCTCCACAGACCACCCCCTCCGTCAACTCTGTTGCCCACACAAAAGCCTCGAGTGAGTGGGGTCCGTGTGAGGGTGTGAACGCAGGGAGAGGGGCAGCTCTGGGCAGGGAAGGCAGAGCCTGCCTCGGTCAGCTCGGCTCAGTCGCCGTAACAGACGGGGCCGCCTAAACAGCAGACATTTACGGTCCCACGGTTCTGGGGGCTGAAGTCCGAGATCAAGGTGCAGGCAGAGTTGGTGTCTTCCAAGGCCTCTGTCTTTGGCTTGCGGATGGCTGTCTTCTCCCTGTGCCTCCACGTGGTCTCCCCTCTGTACCCACCTGCGTCCCGATCTCTTCTTATGAGGACACCAGTCGTATGGATGGGGGCCCATCCACATAACCGCACTCGACACGGAAGGTGCTGCTCATATGGCACAGAGGTGTTGCTAGTGTGTGCAGTGTGGGAACCACCATTCCACGTAGGACTTGTGTAGATAAGGCGGCAAAGCAGCCTCCTCTTGTCTTCCCTCCCACACGCTGGCTTCAAAATCTCCTCGGTTCCACTAAGAGTTCCCTGCCAGGGCATCTTCCTCCATGGATTCAACTCAATCCAGAGACTGACCACCTTCGAAATCTAATTTATTGACA